ACAAGTGTGTGAATGATGTTGACCTCAATTTTTTTGTGAAATTGTAATATTTTACACTGGAAACATTTCTAATGTTTTATACTGGAAAAGAATTAAATTGAATTTTGAGATGATGTCTTTCCCAATTTCATCTTCATGATTATAGTTATCAATGTTTAAACTTCTCTCTGTATGACAAATAATTATAGCATTCATTTAGAAATAGCCACTGAACAAAGTCATAAGTCTCAAATTTTTCCTTTTCTTTTGTTTATTCAGGCAGGATATTATCATCTAGATTATCCAAGACCTGTAGTGTACTATTATGTAGTTTTAAGGGATCTAAGTGGCCACTCATGGCTTAGTATATTTGTTCTCAAAGTGTAGTCCTCCACCCAGCAGCATCAGCATCACCCAACAACTTGTTAGAAATATTGATTCTCAGGCCCTGCTCTAGACCTTAGAAGTGAAAATGGCCAGGCTTTGTCTCACATACTTTGGTAATGTTGTCAAAAGGGACCAGTCCCTGGAGAAGGATATTGTGCTTGTTCAACAAAAAAAGGAAAGACCCTTAAAGAAATGGATTGACACGGTGGCTGTGATGTTGGGCTCAAGCACAGCAAAGATTGGGAGAATGGTGCAGGACCAGTCAGTGTTTCATTCTTTTGTACATAGGGTGGCTATGAGCTGGGGCTGACAACCGTAACTCTTGATCTGCTGAATCAGAAACTTTGGGAGTGGGCCTCGCACTCTGTTTGAACAACCCCACTAGGTGATTTTGATGCACACTAAAATTTGAGAACCATAATTTAGTAAATGTTAAAGGTTCAAGGTCTCATGATCCTACAGATCAGCCAAATGGTATTAATTATTAGCCTGGTAATCCCACCTCCTTTGAGGTCACTGCATTTGATTGGTTCACTAAGGCTAGGCTGTAAAGTTATTTGCTAGACTGATTGCCACATATTGACTTTGGGTTGTTTGTATTTCTCTGAACCTGTCATTGTAATGATTTCCCAGGACACTTAATAGGAACAGCTTGTGATTTTGTACCCATGGCTAGGTCCTTATACCTTCCTGGCTAGAGTGCTTCAGGTCCTGGGCATGCCATTCATGCACTTGAATGAGGGAGGTGTCACTGTTGTATCACAGGGGACCTGCAGGTGCATTTACTCACCCTCAATTTGGTTTACTGGTAGAGAAATGGAGCACCTATGAGGTTGTACTTTGCTTGAGGTTGCACAGCTAGTTAGAGGAAGGATTGCAGAGGAAGGACTTTCCACAGCACAGGAATTCCTGCAGGGGGAAGGACAGGGCTGCAGCTTGCTCTGTGCCTAGAGTACATTCCTTTCCTACTGAGAGGTTTTCTTTTTATATAAAGAAAAAAAGCAAATAGGGGGAGAAAAAAAGGCCAGGAAATTCTCATTGAAACTAATAAAAGTGTCTAAAGAGAATGAAAAAATCAGTTTGAGAACTTTGGTATGGAGGAAATAACCTGACATTAACTGTTTTAATTATAGTTGTGGCATTGGGCTTATCAGTGTGGGAAGAGAGCGCATTTGAGCCCTACAGGGAAGTGGGATACGGACAAGATGATCCTCTTCCTGAATCTGCCTGCTCAGCCCACAGCCTAGTGATTGCTGTGTGCTTGTAACAGCTGGCATGGAGAAGGGGGTGGACTCAGTAAGTGAGCTGGGCCCTCGGCTCAGCACTGCACCAGCTTGTGCTGTGATGCTTCATGAGGAGGCCCCTTAACCTCTTTGGCCTTCACTTTCTAATTAAATGGGTATAATAATATCCATCCTGTCTATTCTGAGGAGAGTAGGCTAGCAGGAGGCTGGTATTACTGTAGTTAAGAGCACAGACTCTGGATCCAGAGTTCTAGGTTCAAATTCTGGTTCTGTCACTCACAGGTGTGATAGGTCACTTATCCTCTCTGCTCCTTCACCAGTGGAATGGGTATAATGAAATACACTATGTCATAGGATTGTTTTGAAAATTGAATTAATTGTATAAAGTATTTAAAACAATGCTTGGTATTTTCTAAGTGCTATATGTTAGCAAAGGAGCTCTGGTAGCATAGTGCCTAAGGCACTTGACTGCTAACCAGAAGGCTGGCGGTTCAAACCCACCAGCCACTCCTCGGAAGGAAGGTTGGGCAATCCTACTTCCGTAGTGATACTGCCTCGGAAATCCAAGGAGGGGTCGCTATGAGTCGGGGCTGACTCGATGGCAAATAACAACAACAACAACAATATGTCAGCAAAGGAGCTCTGGTAGCATAGTGCCTAAGGCACTCGACTGCTAACCAGAAGGCTGATGGTTCAAACCCACCAGCCACTCCTGGGAAGGAAGATGGGCAATCTACTTCCATAGTGATACTGCCTCGGAAACCCAAGGAGGGGTCGCTGTGAGTTGGTCTGACTCGCCGGCATATAACAACAACAACACTGTGTTAGCAAAGGAACTCTGGTGGCGTAGTGCCTGAGGCATTGGACTGCTAACCAGAAGATTGTCAATTCAGACCCACCAGCCACTCAGTGGGAGGAAGATGGGGGCAATCTACTTCCATAAAGATTTACCACCTCAGAAACCCAATGGGAGTCAACAATGAGTCAGAACTGACTCGATGGGAGTGAGTTTGGTCTTTTTATGTGTTAGCAGGGAGCCCTGGTGGTACAGAGTGGTTAAGTGCTCAGCTGCCAACCACAGAGTTGGTGGTTCAAACTCACCAGCTACTCTGCAGGAGAAAGATGTGTCAGTATTCTGAGAATATTTACAGCCCTGGAAACCCTTTGAGACAGTTCTATTTGGTCCTCTTGTTGTTGTTGTTTGATGCCATTGGGTCAGCTCCGACTCATAGCAACCCTATATACAACAGAATGAAACACTGCCCGGTCCTGGTGCCAGCCTCACAATCCCTGCTATACCTGAGCCCATCGTTGCAGCCACTGTATCAGTCCATCTTGTTGAGGGCCTTCCCCTTTTTCGTTGACCCTCCACTTTACCAAGCATGATATCCTTCTCTAGGGAATGGTCCCTTCTCACAACATGACCAAAGTAGATGAGACAAAGTCTGGCCATTCTCGCTTCCAAGGAGCATTCTGGATGTGCTTCTTCCAGGACACAATTGTTAGTTCTTTTGGCAGTCCATGGTATTTTCAGTATTCTTCACCAATACCACGATAGGGTCAGAATCAATTTGACAGCAATGTTTTTTTTTTTTTTCCTTTTCCCCCATGTTAGCAAGGAGCCCTGATTGCACAGTGGTTAAAGAACTTGGCTGCTAACCAAAAAGTTGGCCATTCAAACCCACAAGACACTCCACAGGACAAAGATGTGATGATCTGCTTCCATAAAGATTTACAGCCTTGGAAACCCTAAGGGGCAGTTCTGCTGTGCCCTATAGGGTCATTAGGAATTGGAATCTACTTGATGGTAGAGGGTTTTTTGTTTGTTTTTGTTTTCTACTGTGTTAGCAAGTATAGCCAGAATGCTTCTTAGAATCTGGGATGTCACTTTGCTTACTTTGGACATGTCATCAGGAAAGACCAATTGCTAGAAAAGGACATCCTGTTTGGTAAAATAGAGGGTCATCAAAAACAAAGGAAATCCTCCATGAAATGGATTGACACAGTGACTGCAACAACGGCTCAATATATGAAAGATTATGAGGATGACTTAGTACCAGGCCATGTTTTATTCTGTTACACCTAAGGTCACAATGAGTCAGAGCTGAGTTGATGGCAACTAACAACAACATTATGTTAGCTTGAGTTCCAGGTAATGTAAATGATTGTGCACTCAGCTACTAATTGTAAAGTTGGTGGTTCAAATCTACCCAAAGGCACTTTGGAAGACCAGTCTGGCAGTCTACTTCTGAAAAGTCACAGCTGTTGAAAACCCTGTGCACAGTTCTACTCTGAAACACAGGGATCACCATGAGTCAGTCAACTCAGTGACAACTGTTTTGTTGTTATTTATGCTTGAGCTTCTATTGTTATTACTTCTTTAAAGTATTGTTAAGAATGAGATGCTATTTCTGTGAACGTTATTCTTAGATCATTCCACCACCTGATGCAATACTGAACAAGTAGAGGGTTCTTATGCAAGTGCTTAAAAGAGAGGGTTGTTCTGACATCCAGTTTCTGCCCGGACCCTGCTGTCTTTTTAGCTCTTTGGTGAACCCCTCAAAGTTAGAGATGATATCTTACTCATATAAGTATATATTCTAGCTCCTCCTTTCCCTGTGGACCCTACTAGGTACTTGCTAGCCTCTTAGCTGTAGTTTGTTGAATTGATATTGTTGATGTTTCTGGTTACTTCTGTCCTGAAACGTCACTTGAAGGCTTAAGCAATTCATTAATATTGTGATGTGACCTAATATCTACCCAGGAGCTCTGGTAGCATAGTGCCTAAGGCACTTGACTGCTAACCAGAAGGCTGGCGGTTCAAACCCACGAGCCACTCCTCGGAAGGAAGGTTGGGCAATCCTACTTCCGTAGTGATACTGCCTCGGAAACCCAAGGAGGGGTCGCTATGAGTTGGGGCCGACTCGATGGCAAATAACAACAACAACAACAATATCTACCCAGGTCTTCCTAAGCATTCATAAATGAATCTTTACATTTCCCATCTAAAGTATCCAAATCTTAAGATGCTCATGGCATACCATGGACTTTTATAGCTTTAATTTTCTTAGTAGCTTTGAGAGGTAGGGATGTAACAGCTGGGGAGATTTAAGCAAAGAGAATGAAGAGCCTCATGGAAGAACACAAAGCAGTTAGTCACTGGTGGGAAGACACTGTTAGAACCCAGGACTCAGGAAATCAAAGGATGAAAAACTGACTAAAACTAGAGTAAATTCAGATCAGGTTGTATGTGGGACTAAATGTTGGTCTGGACTGGATCACACTTCCTTCAAGGGCTGAGGGCTATGCTTAGTGAATTGTATCTAATCTGTGTTTTTGTTTTCAGCATTGCAGTGTCGGGACAGCTATGAACCCTGTGTAAATGAAGGAATGTGTGTTACTTATCACAATGGCACAGGATACTGCAAGTAAGTTTTTTCTTTTTTTCATATACTTTATTTTTCCACAACTAGGACACTAAACATCAGAAGGAAGACTGGGCAATCTACTTCCATAGAGAGCTGCCTTGGAAACCCAAGGAAGGATCACTATGAGTCAGAGTTGACTCAATGGCAGTGACAGGACATAGACAAGATTGGGTTCTCCTGTTGTATTTTAATACTTTTGCAAAGTGTCACTGGTTCTCTAACTTTTCTGATGTGTTTTTTTTTAATCAAGGTGTAGTTAAAATGGGAAGTTATGGAATCAGGAAAAGTATTGATAAATGGTTAATAGGAACTTCTTCCTCTCTTACTGTAATCACTTTCATCATGAAAAAGACTTTTCAGTTAGTGGTTAGTTAATATATATTGAGTGCATTCTTTTGCATTTTTCAGTATCTCATAGTCACTATTTATTTAAGGCCAAGCCGTAGAAACTCCCCTCAATATGTTGGCCATAGTCTTATTCTTAAGTCAAACATAACAAATACTTAATTCTGCCTGATATAAGTGAATATTACAGTTCAGTGAGACCTTTTCTTTCTTAGTATAAAAAATCTAATTCTAAAGTAAGACTGTGATAGAGAAAAATGTGTATGTGTGCAGGGATGGGATGAGGAGCAGGGGTTGGAGGTGCATGCCAGGATATGGTGTTAAAAGAATAAGAAAGAAGAATGGAACTGGAAAGAGTAGGCTAGTTCTGTGCTTAGAAACTTTTCTTTTCATTTTCCAGTCATCCATAGTAGCCAGGTGTTTTGTTTGTTTGAGGA